AAAAGTAATCCAAATTAAAAAAAAAAAATTATTTTTAGGTTTTCAAATTTTGACCTAAAAAATCGAGGTTTTGGGTAAAAAAACGCTATATATGCGGTTTGCCACAACTTTTGATCGGTTGCTCCGATTGACTCAAAAACATGTTTTATGGAATCCTCGATCCCAAATACCTCTAATTAGACACCTATATAATCATTTTAGCTTAAAAACTTATAATTATAAAAGTTTACAAAAATCGTTATTTTTGATATATTTTGCTGTAATATCTTCCATAACAATGTTATGTGAATGTAATACAGCAAAACAGTTTCAAAGGATTTCTCAACCACAACGCAAGGCACAACAAATTATAAACATGAAAATCATTAATTATTGTTTATAGCAGTATTTACCAATTTATCATTCATAATGCAAGAGTAAACTTAATTTTACTAAATATACAATAAATATAAACTTATTGCTTAAAAAAGCTTAAGCAAATTCTGTTTAGATTCTAAAACAGGAAGAAGTTCTCATTGAGCTAATGTTGCCTTTATAAATTCGTCTCGCCTTTTCTGTCCATAAACTAAACTAGAAGCTCTTGTAACTTCTTTCACAATTCTTTCTATCGATTGCCCATGTACAGGAAATTCTGGAACTTCCATTAGGACTTCTATAAACTTAATAAGTTCTTCCTTACCAATCTCACATGTGAGCAAAGGTTCGTAAATATCATTACTCTAATCAATTAATTCGATAATAGTTTCAGCATTAGTATATATATTTGGGATATTTCTTGGTCTAGCAGCAGTAATTCCTAGGGAGTTCGAACTCCTTATTAAAAGTATTTTAATCACTGCAAACTTCCTCTCCTCTTTATCTTTGCTGCATAGTTGTGCTTGTAGAATAGATTTGAGCATTCCAGACAGAGGAGCAAACATAGGGCAAAACTGCTTGTTGAATATTTAAGTTCATTTTTCGGACAAGTTTCAGCTGTTTGATAATATGGTATGGTCCGTTGGTCCATTTATGTTTTACCTAAACATTAATAATATATTTTTCAAAAATAAATAGACTATCAGATTATAGATTATCAAACTACATATAATCATTTCTTACTTTAATTTCAAACCATAATACAGAATATACACCAACACAACCCATACTCTGTCGCTATTGGTTATAATGTAAAGTTCAAGTCGAGCTTGACTCAAGTTTGCTTCTTGCATTCCACCCTAAATGCCTCAAAGGTAGTTCATTTGTGTGCAAAACGCAAACTATCCAAATAAGTTTCGTTTGAAGTTTTTTTTTCTAAAAAAAAAAAATGATACCTCCTTTCCAACCTAAAAAATAATTGTTTTTAAATATATGTATGACATTTATTATTAAATATTCACCTGTATTTATTATCAATTATTTACCTGTATTAAGATTGGTAGAATTTACAAAGCCTGCAGCAACTAGAGTTGATTCTACCCCATGTTTAATAACCCATTTATACATATACATATATTCTGCTATGTGCTCTGCTGGGGTATTACACTCAGATCGGTTTTCTTTATCATTTGTAAAATGGTACAGATATAAACCACCTGGTTCTGCACATACCGAATAATGGTCTTCTTGAACAAGTCTGTGGTGAAATTTTCCATTTTCTCCCATCAAAAAACATTTTGTCTCATCCTTTCTTCCATCAAATAAAATACATTGAACTCCATCTTTTACAACAAAATCATTTTCAGATTTTAACTGTTCCATCACTTTCAATTTAGATCTTTCAATTTTTTTTATGATCTGTCACTATTTCACTGTCAAACACTTTCTTTTTAAGAAAGCCTGCTTCTTTATCTGCTTTCAGTGTTGAAATATTAGCAATAGCTCAATTTGATACCCCATATCTTATTGATGCTAACGCAACTTCTTCCATATTCAATGTCTTTTTTGAAACTTGCCTACTAATGTACTCGAAACTGTTCTTAGAAACAACATCTTCAGTATTCTTAATATTATCAATTGTTTCTTTGATTTTATTTTCTTGAGAATGAAAAGATAGATTCTGTTTGTGGCTTTTTTTTTCCAGAGGCCTTTATTTTATTATTTTTTTCTGGTCTATTGGTTTCTTTAAAATCCGAAGCACCCATTTGCATACTACTTTTTGTTCCAAAGTTCTATTGAAGGAATTTTGTTTTCTCTATTGCATTGACAAGAAATATGCACTTTAAAATTACAAGAATTACAACTTGCCTCCTCACAAGAAACAATGTCACACTTGCACTTTGCTATATCAAACAGCTTGTCCAGAGTAGAATTAAACTTAGAAATAATTTCAGGTTTACACCTGTTGTTAATAATATCTGTAGCTTTTTTCCATACTTTTATTATTTTATTAACATCCACTTTGTCCGTCACAATAAGAATTTTAGGATTCGCTTTCAACCATTGGGTTTTTCACTTTAGAGAAAACCTTTTGGCATGTATCTTTAAGTTTTGCATTTGCTTTGCAGTTTTTATCTCTTCTTAGAAGCAGACCATACTTTATAACATCTCTTAATGTGGGTAGCTCAGAATCTAAAAACTCACTTGCAAAACCAATCATAACACTTAGTTTGCAACTTTGACTGATATTACGTGTTCGTTTAGCCAGCGATAAAGAACTCAAAGTAATCAATAGTTTATAAATAATATTTATTGTAGATTTAATGTGTCAACTCAAATGCAGAATTTAAAATGCAGCAAATTCAGATGCTAAAGCAACGGTTTAAAATGCGGCAATTCAAATGCAGCAACTTATGAATGATATTTCATAGGTTTTTTCGTATAATCATAGTTATAGTATTTTACTAGTCTGGAAACGCGGGCCGTTTTCTTAAAACACTTAAGTTTCTCTCTATACTAGTGCTCAGCCTACTTTAGAGTGCATCAAATTGTAAACATTGTATTTCGCTATAGATAAGTTACATATATTCTATGAAACATATTGAAATGGCATGAACAAATTGTGATTTTTTTGGTTATTCAGTTTTAAGTTAATACTTGGATCGCGTATATATTTCGTATTCCGAATAAAAATGATGAATATAGCATAAAATAAAGACATCAACTGTTGATAAATGTAGTTTTGTGACAGAGTTTGTAGTGGTATTAATATGCTTATTCAACCATATAGCTTATATCATATCAGCATTTAAATTATATACTATATGAAAATATGTTAGAGATGTAAACATTTCATCGATTGTATAACTTGATGGATGAATATGGGTATAAATGCTTTGTATTATATTCAGAGTATATTTATTTAAAATGTTAGCTAATAGAGCTTAATAAACTCTATATTATATATATAGTTTACTTAGCTGGATTAGTTGATAATTTATATATCACTCTTTACACTATGATGGTATTTTTTTTGGAAACAAGAAAAATTCAGGTACAATTTTATCATTTTGAATGGTTTCAAAGCTAAATTAGATAATGTTGGTATCTTTTAAGATATGTGTTATACCCTTAACACAGTATATTTATCTACCTTAGGGAGAAAATTATATCTTAATTATTATCTTAATTATATTAAAAATAATAATTTGTTGTTTAATTTTCTACCTTACAAGGAAAAATTTTTTTACCTTTAAAGATAAAATTTTTTATCTTGGAAGGTAGAAGATTTAACCTTACTATGTGCATATCACATATTCTACCCTAAGGTAGACCTACCTTTTTTACAATTGCTATACTAACAATAAATGTTGTGCAAAAATGTTTTTCTATTTTTATTAACAAATAAAAAAAAAAAAAGTTTTGTAGAATCGATTCTACAAAATATTTTCTGAAAAAACAATTTCTTTCATGTTTTGAAAGCATTTATGTTTTGAATGCTACTTCATGTTCTTTCATGTTTTAATCAGCAGTAAAAAATTTCAGCATTTCAAACAAATGAAGCAGTTACATTTTAAAAGGAACTAAGCTGTCATGACTTCTTCTTGAAATAATTGAAATATAATACTTGATTTTAAACTTTTAATGTCAGCTTGTAGCAAGATACCATTTATCTGAAGCAAGCTTTACTGGAATCTTGATTAAATAATTATAAAATCTTATAGGTTAAAGAATAATCTTTGCTTTCTTTTATTCTTTACTAAATGTTTATTAATAATCTTGCCCTTGTGCTTGGCGCTGAGGTGACGAGTCACCGTGTGATATACTTCGTTTTTTTGCAAAACAAACACATAAATATTCTTTCTTCACTTTTGTTAGGATAAATTAAAATAGGTAGTCTAATGTTTGAGTATTAATGTTTTTTCAACTAAAATTGAGATCTGCCTTCAACAAATAACAACTCAATAGCAGCTAAAACAGCATCGAATTCATTCAAATTCTCAAAGTCTGCGCTACAAAAAGTCGTTTTAAAACCATTTGATGCGCTCTCAGTCCGGTCACCCCTTAAAGCTCAAGTTATTTTACGAAATCTATAGAAAATGGCCCGCGTTTCCAGACTAATTAAATACTATGACTATGATATAATCTACTAAATAAATTTAAGTTTAAACAAAACATCTTATTGTAACTACGCAAGATATTCCAGCAAAATATATCAAAAATAACGATTTTTGTAAACTTTTATAATTATAAGTTTTTAAGCTAAAATGATTATATAGGTGTCTGATTAGGGGTATTTGGGATCGAGGATTCCATTAAAGATGTTTTTGAGTCAATTGGAGCAACCGGTCAAAAGTTGCGGCAAATCGCGTATATACCGTTTTTTATCCAAAACCTCGGTTTTTTAGGTCAAAATTTGAAAACCTAAAAATAATTTTTTTTTTTTTGGATTTCTTTTATATAAGGGCCAAAACATTTAAAAATCATATGGTCTAAGCATTTACTGAAAAAAATTGAAAAATGACCCGTTCTAATATATATAAACATATTATCTATGTATAAAAATCTAAATGTATATATTGAAAATGAGATTAAAGTTTTAAACTTTTATAAAAATTCATTTGTATCTTTTATTCAAAATTAAGATTCAAATATAAAATGAAAAAAATGCCATGGAAAAGTGTAATTATTGTTTTATGCATGATAATCATTTTATCAGGTACGTAAATTCATTTATACTTAAATTGAATATAAAGATTTTTTATTTTCTTTAGGCTTCATTATGTTTTTTATTATTTTGTTGCTAGATACTTTTTTTATTTTTAACTTTAATAATTATTTTGTATATTTTATTTATCGCATTGATATCTCAACAGACATCGAAGTTCAAGCACTTACCGCAACATCTAATTCAACAACAACATCCCAGTTCAAAGGTTTATTCTTTTTTAAATTTTTAAAAGTTTGAGTCTTTTTTGTCCTTCCTTTAAAAAGATTGGTAGGTGACCAATATTTTTTCATTTATAAATGATTTTTTTGTAGATTTCATTGATCGATTCCAGTTTAGGATTACATGATTACATGATTCCAGTTTAGGATTACATGACTGAGTTATAATTTGTTTTTGTTTAATTCAATAAATTATCCATTTGATTGAATTAAACTAAAACATTCGTTCAATTGGATCCAACAAAAAATTAATGTTTAAAAACGTTTTTTGAACGGTGGTTTAAATAAAATTAGCAATAAGTAAATAAATAAATAATTTATAGGACATAAAAGTTGATCTAGCTATTTTTTTTAAATAATTATTCTTTCCTTACTGTTAAGGAAGCACTGTTAAGGAGGATAAAATTAAGATTACTGTTAACTTAAAGAGATTACTAATTTTTAAATAGGAATTTACGGCGACAACTCCATGTTTTTGATAACTCCATGTTTTTGACAACTCTATGTCTTTGCAAATATAGAGTATTTGTATTAAAAGAGTACATTAAGCTATTTATTAATAATCTTTTAGGGGAGAAAATTAAAAAAACATTTCTTAAAGTGTAATTAGATATTTGATGGTAATACAATGTAAAAAATATGAATTAAATGCGGAGGGCGGTTGGCCATTTAAAAGTTTCTATTCAAGCAGTTTTAAGGATCTTAAAAAGATGGTTGACAACTCCTAGGAGGAGATGCAATTCCATCGGTAGAATAATTTCCAAAATCAGAACATTGACAGGCCCGCAGATGATTGGCTTTCGAATGACATTGCCAAACAGCTTTGCATTAGCAACAACCCCGTCAGATTCCTGAAAAGACTCAAAGCTTGAATTAGTTTAGTCTAGTGTTCGCAAGTTTCCAGATTTGGAAAAATTGGATTTGACGTCGCACCAGGTACAAGGGTGCGGATTGCGTCACACCAGGTACATAGGTGCGTCACACAAGGTACAAGGGTGCGTCACACCAGGTACAAGGGTGCGTCACATCAGATACAGGTTGCGCCACACCAGGTACAAGGGTGTGTAGTTAAATGAGTTTGAAGACCACAAGTTATATTTGCAAGTTTCATTTCACAAGCCAAAATTAGTTTAATTCTATTTGCATTAATCAGTGACCAGATTTGTTCAATAGTGGAGTGCGTTTCTGGCAAATCTTCTGAAACCCCAACAATAATTCTTGAATCCAAGGACTTTACCAGTCCTTTGAGTGAGAGGTTGTTGTTGGTACGGTGAACTGGTTTCATCCCTTAACGCAGTATCAACAATGCTTAGGCATAACTTGAGAAAACCTTTGCCTACATCAATTCCGAGCTTAACAAAATAGCCACCAGAAATTTTGCGGGACTAAATAACATGATTCACAAGACTTGATAAATCATTGCAGTAAGGAACAACATGAACTGAACAAGAAGTTATTTTTTTTCAAGAATCTGTGATTTTTAAGTCGCTGCAGGTGACGAAATTGGTCAATTGTTGACTCATGTAGAAATTTCGCTCTACCATCTTGCTGCTTGATGTTTATAGTTCTAACAAGTTCCTTTAGTCCGTTGTTTGACAGGCCCGTATTTAATTGCACATTTACTGCAGTAGTCAATTTTGGAGCACTTGAGTGTGTCTGAGCACTACTTCGACCTAAAACTAAAACATACATACTTTATAGCTACAATAAACTTTGTTTAGTAAGTTTGTGTAAAACTTTCAAACTATTCGTTTTTAAAGAAATTAGAAACTTGTCAAAAATATACTTCTTGAAATCTAACTAGTGTTATTTCTTAATAGTCAATGCTTTGAACGGCAAATTCGGTATATTAGGCAACAACACATCGTGCCTCTTGTTTCAGGTCTCATTTGTATTGACTTAAAATTAAACAAAGGAAAGAGTGCAACTTCTTTCTCCTCTTGTTTCCTGCGCTAAGTAATTCTACACGATTCACAGAATCGTTTTGGTACCTGAGTATCGCTGATATTGACCTTGGTTTTTATAGTTGGAATATTCGATTTGCTTGAAAAGTAGTAAGCTGTCTTAAACATTGTTTCAGACAGAGCAAGCACACAAACTTTCGGTTTTCATCATGATTCTTTGCTTAATTTGGTATTGTGGCAATTCACTAAATTTGACTTCACTAAATCAAACTCTGCCTTTTACAAAATTTGACCTAAAATTATATTTGATAACAATCCACTTAACATAGTAACACATATTATTAATTAAAAACTATAAAAATAAAGGAAGTATTTACTTGAATAAATTGAGTTAATATTAGATTAAAAGGAAATAACTCTTGAATAGTTCTTTCCTTACCAGGAAACAATTGTTTAAACTATTTACTTGTAAAGAAATTACATTATTGATAGTTGTCACACTTATTAAACGAATGATACTTGTCACACGGGTTGTTTTATTTCAAAACAACCCTTCAGCCTAATTAGTTATTCAGTTAGAGTAATTTTTGTCCGACTGGCCCTCTAAACTTTATATTGGTCAGATATCTTAACTTAAGTCAGTTATATTTGTCAATATAAAAAACATTTGTTTTTTTCACAGTTGTTCTGTTTTCAGATAAATAAATATTTTTATTTTCTATGTAGGTATCCCTAGAAATCTTTCTTAACCATTTTTTTACAATTTTTTTGCATTCTAGCAGTTGTTTATACCTTAGGAAATATCTTCACGCTATGCATACATGGCCGTCAAAGGAACCATGGCCTGCCAACTTTTTTGCGAGAATCTTTTGTTTTAAAAATGTAGACAATTATTTTAGAAATTATGGATTTTATTTTAGAAATTGAGTGGGTTGACCCCCTCCGCTTTAAAGACCGTGTCAACGCCATTGGCATAAGCCAATTCAAATCACACTTTAAGTAGAAAATCAATATTTTGGTCTTTAAAATGAAAACTGTACATGTACCGTTAGAATAATTATTACAAAAATTATTGGTATTACATAATAGAACACTCATGTAACGCTTTGAGGTATAAGTAGCAAAAAACTGACAAAACTTCAACTAAAACTGCAATAAATCCTACATTAGCCAACCAATCAGGTTGAAATTTTGTCCAGGATTTGGTGTGACTATTGGCTACATTTGCACCAATTTTTTTCAAATTATATTGAGTGGTTCAAATTCTACAAGTGTTTTTATTGACGCACTATGAAGTCAAAACTTGACTTAATGTGAACATTCAAATTAAATTTTTTTCCGCGGACAAAATTAAATGATCTTAAAATATGCATTATAGGGGAACCTTGATGTGTATGCTAACTTTTCGTAAAAGTGGCGTTCTTGGGACAGCTAAATAGGCATTATAAAGATCCGTGCTAACCGTGACCAATTGGAATTAAATGACAAAATCCTTTGCAACTTTATCGTGCAAACTTGATATAGTTATCGGTGAAATTAATCGCCAAAGTAAGTCAACGCGAAGCGCAAATTATCTAAATAACTAAACCGTATATATATATATATATATATATATATATATATATATATATATATATATATATATATATATATATATATATATATATATATATATATATATATATATATATATATATATATATATATATATATATATATATATATATATATATATATATATATATATATATATATATATATATATATATATATATATATATATATATATATATATATATATATATTAAACTCTTGTTCTGAAAAAATACTAATTTAAATTTAAATATTTTTTAAAAGTAATAAGTAATACTAATCAAATATATTATTTAAAAAATTATTTAAAAATATTTTGACTTATATGCATTCAGAGTTAAACCTTTAAATACGAGAGGCACAGAAAAGGAAATTGTTTACAAACCTACTAAATTTCGGCGTTAAGATTTGTATTGCTCATGCTCGCAATTGATTGTGTATTTATCTTTAAAAAGAAAATTTATGCTAATATCATTAAAATAAATTCTTGTCATGAAAAAATAGTATATTTTGGTTATATTGCCATCTAATCAAACTAATACAATTTAACCGAAGGCGATAAAATGTTGCTGCATTGAAAGATTAAAAAACTTTTCGAAATGAGATTATATAAAGAAAAGTTAAAAAACTCTCACCTTGCAATACTAAAGTAAACCTTCAAATGTTGGGTGCAAGTTGTCAAAAAATAGTTAAACTGTTTTTAGAAATTTTATGGTTCAATTGTTAATTGTTTTATATTTTTTATTTGACAAACTTAATTTAAAAAACCAATTTGAAAATTTAAATTAATCATAATAGATAGAGAAGGGGGCACAAGCTGAAGTTTTCTAGATAGAAAGTTTTGTGTATTTCAGAGAAGCTTCAATCACTTTGCGAATATCAAAAAAATAACACGCGTTGTTCTTGACAATGTTGCAAGATAAAGATTTTTTCAAAAATCCCTTATCGCTTGCTTTAAAAAAATGTAAGCTGTAATTTAGTTTTAAACTCCAGAAGAATATAATTAAAATTTATATGTAAACACGTCTTTAACATCCAATACGCTTTAGTAAATTTTGATATAGGGGAGAGTTGCCGAAATTGGAACAGCGTCTTAATTGGAACACTTGCATTTATTTTTGTACAAAAATGAATAATGGGTATATTTTGCATTTTTTTAGTAAAACGCATTATTTTCTACGTTTTAGCACATTTTGAAAGTTATTCCTCAAAAAATGCATTTGTACCATTGATTTAAATTTTTTTTGCGTCATTTTTTTTCAGTGATCTAATTTTGCGTTCACACTATATTAGCTGCACTTGGTAAATTATGATGCTATAGGTTATACAATTTTTTGTGTTTAATTTGATAGGATTTAAAATGAAAAATAACAATATAAACTTATTTTATAAGTTGCTGCAAGCATGTTATTGCAGTGATATAACAAAATAGTCGAAAGTTTTCTTGATTGAACATTAAAGTTTTCCTTACCTAATCAGTAATAAAATCAATGAGTTGTAAAAGTAGTTTCAGTGTTATTAAAAAATACTTAGTAACAACCATAAACCGTAAAAATATGACTTAATTCAATGATTTTAAGCCATAACAGTTCTAGCTTTTATTCAATTTTTTGTTTGTAGACTTTAACTTTGTCAGGCTAATACTAATCCTATAATAAGTTTTAAATTAACTGTTTATATTTTTACTGTAAAGATAAAAATCTTATTTAATTAATTTTTGTTGATTTGACTGGGTTTTTTTTTAAAAAAAAGTAACCTGTTCTGATTAAGGAATTGTAGTGTTCCAATTTAGGGAAATATTTGCCTTGATTGGAACAAAATGGTACCTTTGCAAAAACAAATTTATTTACAATAATAGTGCAATCAATTAAGTCAAGTTGTGGTTAAAAGTATAGTAGGGATGTCTGTTTGAATTATTCAAATCATAAATGTTTTCATAGTTAAGCCATCTTTGATTAATAAATATTTATTCCTTAATCCTTAAATTTTATTAATGCAATATAAACTAAAACTACTGAAAATAAATAATAATATGGAACTATATTTAAAAATATTCAATCGATACCAATCAATTATATTTGCTATAACCCATATTAATAGTAGAGCCTCAGTAACCGTTAAAGTATAATATACTAAAAAGCATTGCCAATACCAAAAATATACTATCAATAATAAACAATGCTAATAAAAAAATTGTTTGAGCGCTTTTAATGCTTACAGAAATTTTTTAACAAACAGATTTTGCAAAACAATTTGCAGAAAATCCCATTTTTTTTACAATTGTTATGATACCATATTAATACGTTATATAACTTAAGGTGGTACAACACCAAATAAATAAAAAAATGAAATAAACCTCCAAAATAAAAATGCTTTTAAATACAGTTTACTCAAATGATTTAAATAAAAAAAAGCAAAAATTTTTTTTTTTTAATTAGCATTAGGACCATAATGGCGGAAAAACTATTAAAAAATGCGTTTTTGGACTAAATTTCAAAACATAATATCTAAGGCTAGCCATCATTATATGACCTGAAATTTTGTACACTTACTCTAAACACTATTTTATTCCATTTAACAGATAGATTTTTTAAATATCAAAGTAAATGATGAGTTATGTAGTTTTTCCTCATATTTTATTTATTTCTTGACGTTTTAGAGAGATCTGACTAAAAAAAAAAAAAATTACTGATCATAAAAAAAAATCCATCTGTTAAATGAATTTTATAGGTATTTCGAGCAAGTACTGAAAATTTCAGATCAAATGAACAATGCTAACTCAAGAAACTGTGTTTTGAAGTTTAAGCAAAAATAAAAAAACGTGAACTGAGATAAACAGCATTGAAAAATTCTTGATATAATATTTACAATATTAATTTAAAATCCTCCTGAAACATAACTGTCATTACATTCTTTTGCTTTCTCCTCATCTAGGTGACCTTTTTTAATGGCTCTAAGAGTTTTTCTTCTTTTTTTTCCTTTCTCTGATGACTTGCACCTCATTTGACTAATCCTTTTTTTATTTTTAGAAGTCGCTGAAATATTTGATACCTTACCATGTAAACCAAAATGTCTAAAAACACTAATAACACCCTTTGCACCATCATTGTATGCTAAAATAGCTGAATACGTTCCCATTTCCAGTGTTGATTAAGAAACAAAAACTCTTTTTGGTACACGAGCCCAAATAAGTCCATTAAGTGCCTCGTTAGCATTTTGGGTGTTTCCATGTAACCATTTTGATAACAATTCATCTGATTGTAAATTTATAATTATTGGTAGAATTAAATCCTTTATCCACAGAGGTATGGTAGATTTGGGTTTATAATTCTTTTGATTTAGAGCCCAGTATTTGCACCAACTATATTTTCCACGAGGACAAAACTGGTGGCGTGTGTAGGAATCAGGAAAATTGGTGAAATGGAAAAGTATGGCATAAACTGCTTTTTTCATTAAATACAAGTTTCCCACATTAGATCTGATTGCAAGACCATAGAAATTTTGCATTGAATTAATGCAGTTTTCAGTGAGTTTACCTCTGCCTGATATTGGTTTTTTAGTACCTTTTTGGGCTTTGACAAGGTTTCGTAGACGTGTTTCTAACCGTTTTTGAACATGTCCAATACATTCCAGTTTTACAGGCATAATACCATACTCTTTGTAAGGATCTGCTTCTATTACATCATTAAAAGAAGATGTATCCCCATCTCCTAGATATTCTTTATATATCAACTTATTTTTTTGTAAAGATCTCTTAAACATAGCCACAGCTCCTACAGATTCCATACTACCCGATGAACCCTTGTGATTCGATTCACACTGGTGATCAACCAACCAACACTGATACTCTGGAGTTCCTTTTTTAGATCTCCACATTTTACATCCATTGCAATGTTTGGTAAATATCTCTGCATCAATACATTTATCACTACAAACAGCAGTTACAACACCATTCAACGAACTATGACCTCGCTTTTGCCATGAACCATCAATAGAAATTCTAACTTCTTTCATTTCAAGAGAGTTGTTTATTGATTTGGTTTCAAAAGCAGCTTTATGCATACTTTCCTCAGCAGCAATTTTGTATACTAACATGGCAGTTTTATTTAACTTATTAAAGCCATTAGGCGACAAACAATAAAGATTCATACAGAAGGAAAAAGTTTTCATCGACTCATGGCCAGCACTTATTTCTCGCAATCCGATGACAGCTCGCAGGTTGATCTCATATGGTGATTCTAGAGATGAAAGTTCTTTTTTATAAATAGGAAATACAGTATCAATAGGAAACTCATTTGTGTTTAAAGAATTCTTTGACTTAGGGAAGTTCTAAAATTTTTAGAAAAGTTACACTTAGTACACTTCATCTCAAGTAAATGACAAAAGCCCATGCGAGAATTAACGTTATCTTTGATTAACAAATTTCCAATAAAGCAATTGGGGCAAACAGTGTGTGCAATTAATTTCTTTAACAATAAAAAGTTAATGAGTATAAAATAGTCGTCAGAGTCACATTTATCCGAGCTGAACGATACATCTAACTTTCTTGAGCTAACACAAGAAATCTCGTGATCTGCAGGTTTTGATTTAAGAATATCAGATGGTTTAAACCCATTCCATTTTCTGCTCTTCTTTCTAGTACTATTTTGTTTATTTGGCATTTCTTTTAAATATATTTATATAATATATATATAATATAAATCCAAAGGGTAAACAAACAATAACACTCCAAATCTTTCAAATCTGTTAGCTGTTACAAAACGTGTTTAGTGGTTAAGAACAATGACTTTTAATTGAATTTCAATTCGGAAAACATAAAAGTGACATCAAGCTTACAAAGCTTGAAGACTCCAGTAAAATTGAGCTTATTTTTAGGGAGAAATTGCCCTAACAACCATGTTAAATATTTAGTATCTCCGTTGCTAAGGAAAAAAAGATACACAGTGTTCTAATAAAATGCTCATATTTAAAGAAAGATAAATTATTTAGCTCTGAAACTTTGGCTAAACGTTCTTTGATTAATTTGACACATATTTTATGCAAAATTGAAAAACTCAAAAAATTTTTTAGTTTTCTAGTTTTTTTGGTGTTGTACCACCTTAAAGGATTAAAAATAAGGGTAAAATTAGAAATGTCACAAATATTCGGTGACTTTAGAGTATTTAGCCAACTCGACTACTTTTTTACTATTAGGTATTCGGCTTAATCATATATTATATATACAAGATGTCTAACCTTGATCCGAAAAGTGGTCCGATTATGCCATTTTTACAATTGGCAGATTAATTTGTAACATATATTATTTAACTTTTTTTCTTCTTGAAAATTAAGTAATTTAAATATAAATGCTATTTATGTAAAAGTGTTAAAAGGAAATAAGAATATTTGTAAAATAATAATTTATGTCTTCTAAATTCCTTTCCGATTTGAAGTGGATTAATGTTTTGAATAGAATAGTGAAGCGACAGACGTCTTTAAAGCATTTTTATGAATTATAATACTTTTTAATAAACCTAGGCTCATAAAGAAACGTTTAAACCACACATCGGCTTCAGCTTTTGTCTTTTTTACATATGGCGGACTATATTTATAAACAAAAAAAAGCGGTTTTATTTTTCGTTCAATCAAATCCCGCAGGTTAAACATCTAGACTATATATTATTTATTCGGCTAAATATTGCAAACTATTCGGCAAAATACCGAATAGCAGAATGTAACAAAAAAAAAACGCTTAAAAAAGTATTACTTAATTATTATTATTAACTATTAAGAATTATTTATTATTTTTATTTATTTTTTTTAACAGATTGCAAATTTCTCATAAATTATACACTTTTCCAAAAAAAGCCATTAACTATTTTCACTTCAAAACAGCAAATAATTAAGTCTTTTTAGCAAGTTCTGTTAAAATAATGTTTTGCGTTTGCTACCAGCACTTGTGAAGGTTCGTTATCCAATTTAAGCAAATAGTTTCGTGTAAAACTAATTTCATTTGCAACACGGAACCCACATAGAGTATTTTTTTTTACTGGGTAGACACCAGTAATGGTTCATTGGTATCAAGCAATCTTTCATTAAGAAGAAATAATGTTTCACTGATTTAATCTTTCACTGAGCTAAATATTTTGTTTAGCTCGTTGTGTCTTAACTAATCCTTTAAAATTAGTTTTGGAACATGCTTCAATAAAATGGTCAACTGTATAGTTGAAGTTTCATTATACGATTGTAGCAAAGATATCATTTTAATAAGTTTCTTTGTGTGTGCTGTGACACAGCCAAGTCGCAAATGAAACAAAATTATGTTATGTTGGTGTTAATTTATGCTGTTAGTGATTTTTTCTGTGTAAATTTCTATGTGTAATAATTCCAATACTTACATTTCTTTGATAACCCCAAAAAAATATCAATAATAAATAATGCACTATTTTTAGATATAAACGAATGCAGTTACACGTGTAATTGGACAAACAGCAACTGCACAAATTTAAACGGAAGTTACATTTGTTCGTGTGTGAAAGGCTTTCAGTTAGATGCTATGAACGCATCATGCATAGGTAAATAATTTTTTTTAAAGCGCATTATTAAGTTTATCATTAGATATATTCAACTTAATTTAGGTATACTCAAATAAATATTCAAGCTCATGTAAAAAAAGTAGCATTAGATGTTATAAGCACTTTAGACATTAGCTACCATAAACAATCATTCAAGTATCAAGTATTTTAGTGCTAATGATACATTAGCAATGCCGTAGAGCTCAAGGTAATTATTAACTTGATTTTAAATTATCACTAAAGTCATTTACAAGTCATAACAATTTAATTTTGCCATTTTAAAGCAAATGTAACAACTTTAAACTGTAAATGTAATAGCTCTCTTAAAATATTACTAAATAAAAACTACCTAATAAAAAAATTGTTATAAAAATTACGATCAATGATGATCAGGGGCGATTCTAGAAAAAAAATGAGTGTGTGTGTGTGTTTGAGGAAAAAAAAGTCTTGAAAACGAATTTCCCTATATATGTATATATATATATATATATATATATATATATATATATATATATATATATATATATATATATATATATATATATATATATATATATATATATATATATATATATATATATATATATATATATATATATATATATAAGAGGAAAAATATTAGAGGATTTATATATATATGTATATATATATACAATATCTGAAAAAATATTTAATGTACAAAGTAATAAAATAAAGCATAATAGTTTTACAGCTTATATTTTAAAAAGACAAAATAAGTTTTAAAAAAGGAAAAAAAAACCTTTAGTTATGTAGCTGAGGGAAACTCGCAGAAAACTCTATGAAGTCTTGTCACCGAGAACCCTTTTTTTCTAAATAGTTTCATGACTCATAGCTATTGTATTCATTACTTATTAAATTTTTCAACATATTTTATATATTTTTTCAATTAGTCGTGTTATTAGTAAGAAGCATAACAAAATAAACAAAGTATATATTAATATTATAGCCATACCATTGTTTTATCATTATAATTTTGCCACAGAGGACAAAATTGTAATGATAAAACAATGGCACACCTCAGTATTGCGACAAAAAATGCGGTAAAATGTGAATGCACCATATAAACAAATGCAATATGACTTAAATAATTTAACCTTTACTCTAGTAAAGCACAAATGAAAACGTCTAATTTAAATATTTGTACGTGTGTAAAGACCCTTCATCTCTTTGGTTATATCAAGATCATCAGTTAGGTCATTTTTAATTAAATGGCCAAGGTATTTAAAAGATTCAACAAAGGCAATTTTTTAGCCTGATATGAACAATTTTGGGAAGGAGTTTGATATAACTTTTGATTTTTGAGTTGGGTTAAACACCCAACTCAAAAATCAAAAATTAAACACCCAACTCAAAAAAAAAAGAGAGTTCCATGATAAATTCTTGTCAAGAAGCACACAAAAATATTTAAATGATTGAGTTTGTTCAATAATTGTGTTGTCTATACTAAAAGTTGATAAAATTGATGGGGTAGCTCTTTTTTTTGGTTAGAGTTAAATAAGATGTGTTTAGTTTTGTTTTAATTTAATGGCAATTTGATAGCTCTGAATCATGTGTTTAGTTTAATAAGTTCTAAGTTTGTGGTTATAAAAAGGTCACTGCTTGAGGTAGAAGAATAAAACAGATTGGTGTCATCTGCAAAAAATATGCAGTTTAACTTTGATGAGACTTAAGGGAGAATAATGATATAAATTAGAAATAGAAGAAGAGCTAGAATAGATCCTTAAGGGGTCCCACATTTAATTTTTAGTTGTTTCAAGTTGCTAAAATGATATGTCGAAACACATAGTTGAATGTTTTTTTTTTTTTTTAATTTTTTTTTATGAACTGTTCATTTAGGTGTCCTAAGAAGTCCAAACAGTCTTGTCACAGAGCACCACGGAAGTGCATTTAACCAGGAAGTTTATGCCTCCTTCCTTACCGTGACGCAAAATATGTCTAAAGTTTGTTTCGAACCTGGATCTCCTGCTTAAAAAGCAAGTGCTCTAACCACTGCACCACGGCCACACAAATGTTTCCTATAACAATTAGTAAATCTATGTATGTTGCATAAACAAATAGCAAAATCTCGTTACGGTAAGGAAGGAGGCGTGAAGTTCCTGGTTAAATGCACTTCCGCGGTGTTCTGTGATAAGACTGTTAGGTCTTCTTCGGGCACCTAAATTAAAAAAAAAAAAAAAAGTCTTTGTAAGATCAATAAAGACTCCTTTTTAAACAAATTTCTCATCATTAAAGCAGTGTGATTAATGAGATCTAGGATAGCATGTTCCATTAAATGTTGCGTTTGAAATCCGAATTGATTTTCACTTAAGAATCTGTGTTCTATTATATATTTATGCAGTTTGTCGTAAAATATTATTTCAAGGAGTTTAGAAAATATAGGGAGAATTGAGATTGGTCTATAATTGCTTATTGCAGATGTATCTCCACCTTTAAATATAGGAAAAATTTTTGCTATTTATAACATAAATAATTGCTATTTATATATATATAACGGGATTGTCTGAGACAATCCCGTTTTTGATTGAAGAGCTAAATATTAAAAATTTTTTGTTGGAGAAAAAACGTAAAAACATTGTCAGAGATGTCGTCAAAACCTGGGGCTTTATTCTATTTGATGGATTTGATTCCTGTTTCTAGTTCATCAAAGTTTAAATCAATATCTGACAATGAATTCTCAAAGTCACTAAAATAATTTTGAAATGATTTTTCTGAGCCTTTTCTTTTTGTGGCCAGGTTTCGACCGGTGTTTAAAAAAAAAAATGATTAAATATTTCTGATACATCTTTTTTGTCTTTGTACTCAAATTGTTTTCCGTTATTCTGAAGGGTAAAATGTCAGAAACTAATTTATTTTTACCAATGATTTCTTTCATAACTTCAAAAAACAAAAAAGATTATTCTGCATCACCGATGCAGAATAATCTTTTTTGTTCATTATTGCTTTTGACTAAAATTTGTTGTAAACTATTTGAAAATCGCCGTCAGGTAGTCGATAACAAGTATAAACTTCAACGTTTTTTGCATTTTTAATTATTATCTCAATTGTTAGGAACTCACTTTTAATATCGTGGTCATTACGAATATAAACTAAAATTCCTCATCCCCTTTTGAGCGTTTTTCTCTCAAAGTAAATAATTTTATAAATAAAAATTGGAAAATTTGAATTCTTTTGACTCATCATCACACCATGATTCTGTGAGACAAATCATTTTAAATAAAAAGTTGCATTCTAAAAGAAAGTTTTTTAGTTTGTCTATATTGAAATTTAAAAGCCATAATAGTCGTTAAGTAAAATTTTTGTTATCAGTTTCAAAAAAGTTTAATTGTTTCAACTCGAAATCGATTGTTTTGTAATTTATTGTTCATGATTTAGAGCAGGCCCGTGCCGTGGGGAGGGGGTTGTTGGGTATGATCGACCTCCCCCCCCCCCACTCTTTTTATGCAAAGTGCCTTTTTTAATTTGACGCCAAAAATGATTTCTAGACTCTTTTCGATGTCAAAATAATTATTCAAAATTTTTATAATAATTATTTGATTTTATGAATTATTCTCATGAAACAATTTTTACTTTATTGTTTCACAAACGTAAGGTGTCATTACAAGTCATCGCATTCTGAAATCTTTTGTAAACAATAAATGAAAAATAGACTCTCCAAAGTTTATACTGCAATTACAATTATCTACAAATAGATAAACTATAAACTAATTCACTTTTAAAAGCAAAAGATAGAGTTAATATGGCAAACCAAATCAAGAAACGAGCAGTTAATAGAAAAGAGCTTCAAAATGCTGCAAAGAAATGTAAATCGTTAGCTAAACATTTTAAGAAAAAAAATTTTTTTCGAATAAATAGAGGAAGTCATTAAAGATAATAATAATGTTAACAAAAACTTGTCATGCGAAGTAGACCAAACCAATTTAAAAGAATGTGATTTTAAAGAAGAAAAAAGATATGATATTGACGAACTCGTGCGCGGAAATCAAGAATTATCACCAAATGAAATATAAAAAATGTTTAAAAATAACTTAAAACAGTTTTAGTGTTTTCTCAAAACACTAAAACATGGTTGAAAACGCACTTGTAAAGAAAAACACTGTTAAAAAATTCGTCGTAGATTCATCGAAGAATGTCCGTCAGTAAAATGACAGCACTTTCTCCGTAAAAGTTAACGTTTTCCGTAGTTAATATTTTGCGTAAAAATCAGCAGAAAAAGACCGTATAAAAAGATACTGAACTTTTTCCGTAAAATTAACGGTTTCCGTATTTCATTTTTTCCGTAAAAACACAGAGAAGAAATATATAGTCTAGAAGCAAACAATAGCGCTTTGTTTATGTTTTTGTTCCAGAAATTACTAGGTTCTTATTCTTCCGAAGGTGCAAAGTAAATCAAATAAACAAAAATATTTCAAAACGAAAGTATCGATTTCTAATTTTCTTGTGAATTTTCATTAAATTAAAACAACTATAATTTATTTTAGTAAATCGGATACAATTTGCTTTGTTATTATTTGTTCTTGCAAGCTTTGCATTGATTAAAAAAAAAGATTTATTCAAAATTGTTCCAAACTACATTGTCTCGTGTCAATAAGATATTGTCTAATATAACTAAAAATGTTCAAGTCTATAAAAAAAATTTTCTTCAGCCTGACAAATACTTTAAAATAACTATAAAATTAAAGACAAAAAAAAAAAAAAAAAAAAAAAAAAAAAAAAAATACAGATTTTATCTGCCATCACTTAAGTGTTGATAATTTACCAATTTATTGGACTTGATTAAAACTAACTGTTTTTCTTAAGTCTTACTGTTCTTTTTAAAACCAAACTAATGCCTCACCTTGTCTAGTAGGATTAAATTTAGCAGTTTTGAGAAAAATAGAAAAAACTGAATTGAACATAACATAAAGAAAAAATTGAACATAAAGAAACAACTTTGAAAGGAAATATTAGAGCGGTACATTATTTATATACATTTTTAAAAT